AGGATAGGATAGGATAGGATAGGATAGGATAGGATAGGATAGGATAGAACAGAATAGAATTCTTTATTGGCCAGGTGTGATTGGACACATAGGGAATTTGTTTTGGTGCAAATGCTTTCAGTGTACATAAAAGAAAAGATACATTCATCAAGAATCAAGAAGCATAAGGTACAACACTTAATAATAGTCATAGGGTACAATAAGCAATCAAATCATACTTGGAAATGGTCAATAAAAATTATTAGGATACAAGTAACAAGGTTACAGTCATAAGTGGGAGGAGATGGGTGAAGGGAAGGATGAAAGGATTAATAGTAATAGTAATGCAGACTTAGTAAATAGTTTGACAGTATTGAGGGAATTATTTGTTTAGCAAAGTAATGGCGTTCGGGGGAAAGCTGTTCTGGTGTCTAGTTGTTCTGGTGTGTAGTGCTCTATAGCGTCATTTTGAAGGTAGGAGTTGAAACAGTTTATATCCAGGATGTGATGGGTCTTTAAATATTTTTGACAGTATACACATGCAGTATACAGGACCACAGTGGAAGGCAGGTTGGTAGCAATTGTTTTTTCTGCAGTCCTAATTATTCTCTGAAGTTTGTGTCTGTCTTTTTGGGTTGCAGAACCAAATCAGACAGTTATAGAGGTGCAGATGATAGACTCAATAATTCCTCTGTAGAACTATATCAGCAGCTCCTTGGGCAGTTTGAGCTTTCTGAGTTGGCACAGAAAGAACATTCTTTGTTTTGCTTTTTTGATGACATTTTTGATGTTAGGTGTCCATTGTAATATGATAGAACCTAGGAATGTGAAGGTCTCTACTGTTGATACTGTATTGTCTAGTATTGTAAGAGATGGTAGTATGGGAGGGTTTCTCCTAAAGTCTACCACCATTTCTATAGTTTTGAGTGTGTTCAGTTCCAAATTGTTCCAGTTATACCATGAGGCTAGTTGTACAACCTCCCGTCTGTATGCAGATTCATCGTTGTCTCAAATGAGACCAATCACTGTTGTATCATCTGCGAACTTCAATATTTTAACAAATGGATCGTTTGAGATGCAGTCATTGATATATAGAGAGAAGAGAAGTGAAAAAAGCACACGACCTTGTGGAGGGGGAGGGC